GTGAACGGTATCAGATAGACGCAGACGTGCCAATGCAGTACTCATTCGAATAATGGCCAACAAACTTCTAGGCGAAGTGAACATTGAATCCTTAAACGACCTTTTTTATTTCAAGCCCATCATGACTGATAAATCAAGTAATAATTTTGTAAATCACAAAATCATGCATGATCACAAAAAATCATTCATCACCCAATAAAGAAACAATTCAAAAATACCTCTCTTTTCAGTGCTCTAAAATAACATCAAATAATACGAAATCAAAACAAAGTAATAACCTTATTGTTACGCGCATCTTTTCTCAGTTCAATATACATGTCAACCAAACGATCTTTCAGCTTCTCTTCAACTATTGGTTGTTTCCGTTTACATACTGATATGTAACGTCTGCAACATTCAATTTTAATGGAATATTCAATCAAATGACACAAAAAACATATCAAATCAGACACTGATCAATGTGAAAACAACTTCTTTATAAGTGAGAGGGAACAAGAAATAATCATTGAAGTAAGCAAAGGAACAAACCGAATCAACTGCATGTCCAACGGCTTCATATCTTTCTTCTCAGGTTCGTGCCCTTTCATGTGCACATACGTTATGTGTTCAGCCAATCTTCTGTCACTTTCACGATCCGGTTTATCCTTCAGTATCAACATCATATTACATCTTGCACGTTACGTTACCACATCACTATCATAAAACTAGTGATACAACAAAAATTTTCATGCACTTCAGGCTGTGTGTGAACTACCCGACAACACTCACGGTCATTACGACTTACTTCAACAAGTCGAATAATCAAACGCAATAACAAAACTGAGAAGATGAAACGCAAACTTGAATCAACCAGATAAGATCGAATCTGGATAAAAGTGCAGCGGGTAGGTCGACGTTTTGTTCGATNGCTGCAGCTATGATTGAGACTCGTGCATTCAGCGTCGTTACTATACCTGCCTTCGCTATTGAGATCGTTTGTTGTTCCATTACCTGAACGTTTAATTCAATAACATTTATTAGCCTGGCCGTTTTGATGATCACATTCACCTATAATCAACAAAGGATAAACCTCATGAATTGCCGTCCTATCCGCATCTAACATTTTGTCAAACTCATCGATACAACATATTCCTCGATCTGATAATACCAACGCTCCACCCTCCAGGATCATCTCACCACTGATTGGATCTTTCATCACGGCCGCAGTCAGGCCAACGCCTGACGAGCCTCGACCTGTTGTGTACTGCGATCTGACTGCCAAACGATCCACATAAGACAACAACTGTGATTTAGCCACTCCTGGATCACCCATTAACAAAATGTTGATACATCCTCGAATCTTCATTCCATTCGATGTTTTATCAACACCGCCCACCAAAGCCAACAATAAAGTTTTCTTCACATCCAAATGACCGTATATCTCAGGTGCTATACTATAAGCGAGAATATCGTAGAAATTATCCTGCGATACCAACTCGATCTCTTCCTCAGTCAACTCATCCTCGGTTGACATCGCCTCTTCACATCCCTAAAACAAAGCATATGCATATTACAAAGAACATTCGAGTCATTCGAGTGATAACCAACCGCATTGACGTTCTCGATATGATACGCCTCGAAGAGAACATCGTTTGCCATCGACGATGNATTATCCTGCGATACCAACTCGATCTCTTCCTCAGTCAACTCATCCTCGGTTGACATCGCCTCTTCACATCCCTAAAACAAAGCATATGCAGCATATTACAATGAACATTCGAGTCATTCGAGTGATAACCCACCGCATTGACGTTCTCGATATGATACGCCTCGAAGAGTACATCGTTTGCCATCGACGATGCATTTCTCATTGATGGATGCGCATAAGGTATTACCACACCAGTAGCGTTAACCACGTCTCCAGGCTGACATAAACGGGTGTTTTCACCGTGAACGTTGATCGTTAGCGATCGAGGAATACTACCAACAGGCACTTGTTCATGCTTAAATAATGACACCATTAAGGGCTAATAGTTTTACTTTCAAACAACCATTCATATTCCACAATTCCAATTCATCACGTTTACAGATTTACATTAATTTTGTGTAATCTCATTTCCTTACAATTAGTGAAAAACTTCCTCAGTTTCAACCAATAAATGAAAAAGTTGACGACATCTCAAAGTATCGACAGGTCAGCGTAAATAACTGACCATTTCTTGGATTCTCAGTTCTTGAAACTTGACAAATTTTGAGCCTCGCACTTGCATCAGTAATCGACCGTGTGCTTTCGAGTCTACACAATCTCGTGAAGGGCAATTCACTGCCGGAACAAACGAAAGCCCTGATACCTAGAAAAAAGTAGACATCCCAAAGTACTAATGCAATAAAAAACTTCCGCTAAATTCGTTCCGTAACAGAAAGCGAAGTTTTAAAATTTTTATTAATTTTTTTAAAAATCTTGATAAACGTAACAAAATTATAAAAAATCTTAATAAAACGATATTTCCTCGAACTTTTGTGAGCACAACGAAAGTGAGTATAACATTTCTGAAAAAGGCCGGGATTGCACAAAAACATCGCCACCTTCTCGCCCATAAAAATAAACCATCTCCGAATAAGACTTGATCTAGCAACGTACCGGTTGATAAGTTTCACTGCCGCACGTATCACACGTATATGTGATCACTGATGCCATTGGTTTCACTTCAGTTGCTCGGATCACCACTC